TTCATGTGGTCCCGGGAAAGAGAGGAGATAGAGTCTGGGGGATGCTAGTGTTTCCGATTCAACCAAGAACTACTTTGTGAAGGTGTGGGTTAGGAAGAGTTCCCACAGGTGATGCTCGCTCGGTGAGATGAATAAGAACGCTGGGTGAGAGGTTAGGTATTGATTTCCAGAGATGCAGTGAGATTCGGAGCTCAGGACAGGTCCCTGGGTCCTCCCGCCTCACCCAGATGCCGTTTAGAGCCATGACGGTGAGTGCGTCAGGACAGTACAAGTGGAGTCAACAAACAGCCCAGGTGGAGCCCTGCATCCCATGACATTTACCAGCAGGGCTTGGGAGCGCCGGGTGAGCAGAGAACCAGGAGAGGGTGGGGTGTTGGGGACGCCAAAGGTGGAGGGCTCGCTGGATGGGATGCTCTTGACAGATAAGTCAGAGAACGTGCTCTTCACGACTGGCCATGGAGACTGCTGTCAGAGCAGCCGGCCACAGCTGGACAGAGAGCCTTTGGTGCAGGTGTTGGTCTGGGACATTTGGTGCCTCGCTCGTGTCACATGCCTCGGTCGGAGTATTTGTTCTCTTGGGTTTTTCTGTTCTATCAGCTAGAAGCAGGGATATGAACATTTCTTTGACCCTCCTACTCACAAAGAAGGCCATAGCAAGAAAACAAAAAAAACCAGAGTAAGAGAAAATGTGAAAAATCCCAAAGAAATCATCAGCCCACTTCTTATGCTTAACTCAGTTCAGCTTCCCAGGGACTAAGTGACTCACCTAAAATGACGTGTAATTAAAAGGTCAGAACTAGAGAGCAACACTTCAGCCTTGCAGCCTGTGATTTCTACCATGAATACTCGGGGAAATGTCACTGTTGTAGGAGGTGTCTCCTACCTCCATTGACGCCACCAGACACTGGGATGCCACCCTCGTGCAGGCCCTGGGCCCACCACATAGTTGTCTGCAGCCACAAACACTGTTAGTGGACTCCGCCAGCCTGGGCAGCAGAATCGGCTGTCACTGAGGATGCTGCTGTCATGTTGGATGGAGGGCCGCTCGCCAGCAGTTGCCAGTGCTGTGGTCACAGGCCAAGAAATTCCATCCCTGGTCACGTTTATGCCTCCCCAGTACCTTCAGACTTCAGGGAGCTGCTTTTTGCTTTGATTTATGTTGTTGAGTTCTTCTGTTTAATTTTCCCTCCCTTCCTCCCTCCCTTCTATCTCTCTGTTATTCTTTTTATCCTTTCTCCTTTTGTAGTTAACCTCTCAGTCTTTGAAACAAGAGAGCTGAGCTCCAGCCCTGCCTCCTGTCTAAGGGCCTCGGTCATCTTTTCCATAAAGTGAAGGCTGTTGGGCCCCTGGGGGCTGAGGGTCTCCAGGTGTGACCCCAGACATTCTCTTTACCTGGGGTGTTGTGAGAGCCCCGCCCAATCAGAATCTGAGGTGGGTCCTGCAGGGACTGCGACGCCCACCACACGTGAGAGCCGTGATGCCTTAGGTCTCTGGTTGCTAATGTCTGTATACCCGGGGAAAGTCACACGTTTCCAGCGATGGTGACAGCCCCTCGTGGTGGGCAGCGTGTGGATTCCTCCATGAGGGAAAATCCTGGAGTCTGGGGGAGTGTAGCTGTGTGAATTTCACATTGCCTCCGCCTCCTCTCTGCCAGCTGTTGAGCATCTTCGGACTTCATGGGTGCTGGCCTTTGAGCCGCCTTCAGGATACGCTGAAGCTCTGATTGTGTACAGGTGAGGGTAAAGGAAGCTGGCCCGGGGTGTGATTGTGGGTTAAAGTGCAGCCCTGCTTTCCGCATTTCTACCTCTGGCTTTCCCGGGAACGTGACCGTTCACCTCTCGTTGCTGACATAGTTGACAGGCGTGAGAAGACAGAGGGTGGGTATTTTCCGTCCCCTCACCCAGCTGGCTGTCCTCAGTCACTTCCCTGTGCTGCTCTGCCCTGGGGACAGTTGTGCTGAGCGCAGTGATGAACGCAGCTGGGAAGCTGAAGAAAATCAGAGGCTCGAGATTTTTTTCAGCAGTGTTCCCTTATCTGCAGTTTTGCTTTCCACTATCCTAGTTGGCTGCAGTCCAAAATATTGAGAGGAAAAGCCCGTAATTTTTTTAATTCAGTGAGTTTATTGGTACATTTTAGGTGTACAATATGATGATATTCATCACTGGGAATCAATGAGATATCTTGGTTCTTATGTTTTTCTCCATTTCTCCGCCCTCCCTTCAACCTCTCCATCCCTCCTTATTTATTAAGTGAAATAAATAGAACACACATGTAAACGCTGAATAGTTTCTCTGGTGTGAGAAACTGAGTGTGAGGGCCAAAATGTGGAGTAATGTGACATAGGAAGAAAAGGTCCACAGGGGAATGGAAGGGGCAGTGGGAGGGGCAGGACAATGGAAAAGAAAAATTTGAGAAAAAGAAAAAACAGAAAGTCCATGTTTTGAAGAAGAGAGAGACCACAGTCACAGAGTTTTCATTACATGCATTGTTCTATTTTATTGCTTGTTATTGTTAACCTCTTACTGTCCCTGAATTTTACTGTGCATGTGTATGTGTACGGTATGTGGAGAGAGGGGAGGGGTTGGTTCTACCTGCAGTTTCAGATAGCGTCCAGGGACTCTTGGAACATAACCACCAAGGACAAGAGGGAGACTGCAGGAGAAAGGGAGCAGAGTTGTTGCTGCAGAAGAGAGAGGCACAGGGCAGAGGAGAAGGAGAGAAAGGGGGAGCCTGAGCACAGCCCTGAAGCTGGTGGGCAGCTGAATGGCTTGGGAGCAAACACAAGGAGCAACCCAGACTCCCCACGGCCACACATCGGAGCACTGTGTCGGAGTCGCGGTGAAAGTCTCTCAGTGGGCGGGACATGCGGTTCAGGAAAGAGTCTCTAAAGGAGACAAATGTCTTGCCCTTCTCGTGGCAGAGAATCAGTGTCAAAATGATCTGACTTTGTTCTTTTATTTCTAAAATTAGCATTTAGTACTTGAAACATTTACAATATGAACATTTTGGTGGGGATTGCTTTCAGATATTTAAAAATGACTGTCTCTAGGAGAATACCACAGCTGAGGAAAAAATAGAAGTACTCCTCTTGATTCACACGGGGTGATGTAACTTTGATCCGGTGCTTCTCCTGCTTTCTGTCATGCCCGAGGAAGGTGTGACTTGGAGGAGGTGTTCTGTGTGGCTCACACTGCGTGCTGGCAGATATTCTGTGCACACACAGCCTAGTGTGCAACAGGACATATCCCTCTGAGGATATCAGAAATGTATACTTTATTTCCAACTTTTTAAAGACATTAGTGATGCCAGAGATTTAACTGGGTGTAGGATTATTGTCATCTCTATATGTAAATAGCCAAATAAAGAGAGAATGGAATCTGGAGTTGGATCCTGGTATTTAGGAATTTCCTGGCCTTAGAAAAATACCGCACATCCTTAGGCTTCAGCCTATACATGTGTGAAGTGGACATTCAAACAAACAGCTCTTCCTATAAGAGATGGTGCGACTAAGGTTCTGTGAGTAAGCTCTTATTAAAAACTACAGCATTTGCTTACACAGAGGATGATTCTGGCATCAGTTTCTCAGCACCACTGTCCTAGGAGCGCACTTTCCCTCCTCCATTCACACTTTTGTAGATCCTTGTCCTGCCCCCAGCCCACCCCTGGCTACTTCCATAGTTGACTGGCAAGTCGCTTTCTCAAGCTGGGGCGGTGCACTGCACTTGTTACTGAGGATGGCTCATTTTCTGACTCTGAGAACAGGTACCTAAAGAGTAATTCATTCTTTGCTGGGAACCTGAAAATAGATCTTCAAGAGAGTCTTTTTTTTTTTTTTTTTTTTTCCTTGAAGGGCTTAATCTGTAACATAGAAACTAGGTTGTCATCTTTGCTAATCAAAGCCATTTAGGTGGAAGACAAGAAAAGAAATGGGAATCACCCATGTGATGCTGTGTAGATGCCTCTTAGCATTGTAGGCCTTGGTTCTGGCCCAGGTGTGAAGTACAGATCTACCCTGGCCCTTGCAGCATCTGTTTTTCTGTTTGCGTATTCTAACTCATGTGTTTGTAGCCCAGAATCTCTGCCCCATCATTAGGTGTATTAGGCAAGACTTACACATATCTTTCCATATCTAGAAGGCTGGTTTAATGCCTTCTCACAAGGAAGACAAAGATATAGATATAGATAGATAGATAGATAGATAGATAGATAGATAGATAGATTGATTGATTTACAAAGCAGAAATACGTTAATTTACCTGGCAAGTTCAAGAGAAGCCATTCAATCACCAGTTTATTTAAAACTTAATTCTTGTGCTACTCTAGAGCTGGCTTATAGAATGAACTTAGAATTATGAGAGTGTTCTGTAGAGTAACCAATTATATGCCAATTCTATAACAGTAGGCTTTTCATGTGTCACATAAAGTACAAATTCTTTGATATTGGTTTGGACAGTGTTTCAGTCCATTTTGTGTTCCTGTAACAGAGTACCTGAGACTGGGTAATTTATAATCGAAAAAAATTTATTGGCTCATAATCTGAAGACTGCAAGGTCCACTATCAGTGAGCCAGAATTCAGCAAGGACCTTCTTGTTGTGACCTACTCTAGCAGAAGGTGGAAGGATGAAAGAGATCAGAGAGGACAAAGAGCCACACTCCCCCTGTTATGTAACAGATCCACCCCTGCCACATTAATGACGAACCCACTTGGATGACAGTAGCATTAATTCACTACTCCTGTGACCTAATTAATTCTTATCAAGCCCCTTCCAGTATGGTTGCATGAGGTGGGGAAGGGTTAAGTTTCCAGAGCATACTTTTTGAGGACACATTTAAACCATAAGAGGAGTATCTCCATATTAGCTATATTTCTAGTGTTTCACACTTGTGTGAACTCCCTCGTTTCTACTATGATATTCCCATATTCTACTCACTGGAAGGAGGTTCCACTGCTATGAATTTTCTGTGTATGACATTTTCTACCATTTCTGTAAGCCTCCTTGCATGTTTTTTATTTAAAACATTTCTTACCAGTTTTAATTCTATGACATACTTCCAGACTTGAATTAAATCTAGAGAAATTCCCACATTGGTCACATTCAGTGTTCCTCAGCTGTGTGGGGCAAATTGTTGATGTTCATTGAAGATCTTCATACCTTAGTAATGTTCATAGGTCCTCTCTCCAGCCTGAACTCTCTCATGCATTCCACAGCTGCCACCAAGACTAAAGGGCTTTCATACTCCATAGTCTTTGGATTCTCCACCATTTTGAATTTTCTGATGCATAGATGTGTATGTTGTTTTTATAAGTGGACACTTTTCCATAGCTGACTAGCTCTTGTCATCAAATTTGGAAACATTATCATTTCTTTTAGAGAAAGTTCCTGTCTTTTCTTCTAAGAACTCAATTTCACAGTGACCAGTTGGCCACACTTGCTGAACTATTGAACAACATCACTGTCGTTGCTTCTCCTCTCACAACCACAAGAGCACTTTCCTTGCTCCGATAATGTGATGCCACTTGTTTAGAAAGGCAGTGTCCTGCATTGAGATCATGTTGACAGTTACCCATCAGTACAGCTTTGTATGACTTCCAGACAGCCCCGTCCACGGCCACCTCTGGAGTTGATCTCTGTGTCACGGTTTTCAACTAGCAAGACAAGCCATTGTGGGTGTCCTCACTGGAAAATGAAAAAACATACCTAGAGCTAAAGATTGAATTTTAGATGGAAAAAGTGTTTTTTTTTTTTTTTTTTCTTTCTTCCTTCGAGTTCTTTGGAGACCAGCAGGCCTCACACACACAGTGGAGGGGCTCGAGTCTGTCTCTGATACGACCACAGGGTCCCAGGTAGAGCGTGGGGGATGCGGCAAAGCTGAGCCACAAAGCCGCCCATCAAAACTCCCGGACAGACCCACCTCGACCTTTCCATCCCAAGAGGACCCGCTGCATCCTCCCGCTTGGGACTTACATTCTAGGACTCCTTCCCTGCCTGAGTTCCTCTTCAGGACACTTCTCTGCGGCCACCCCATGTGACTGGGGTGAGATGGTGAGAGGCATGCACCCGTCACACAGGTGCTGCCCACAGCGCCTGCTGCCCACAGCGCCTGCTGCCCACAGCGCCTGCTGCCCACAGCCTGCCTGGTCACACTCAGGCTCACACACACATCCCTGCCACTCACTCAAGCTTGCTTACAAGAAGAGAATCCAGTCACAAGATCCCCTGCCCAGGCCTCAATCATCTTTACTTTAAGTGTCTAGGGAGATTTGGCAGCAGCCACTGTTTGTGGAGAGAGAACTCACTCTGATCGATAACAATATATAAGGAGTAATACTAGCTGGTGTTAGTTTGGTGCTTATACTCCCAGCCCTATTATGTATGTTTTCCATGGATCACTTAGTTCTAAAACCAACCTTATTTAGAAGCTGAAATTCTCTGTATTTTGTGGACAAGAAAACTGAAGCACACTATGATTATGCCATTTATCCAAAGTTGCATGACTGGCAACCGACTTAAATAGGACAGGCTTACAGTGTGTCCTAAACAGACCCGAGGAACGTTGCTGGAGTACAGCAGGCACATGGAGTTTGGGGAGGGTGCCCCAAGCGGGAGAGAGGACTGTGCAGGGCACTGGCTCCTGGAGGCATTGCCATCTCTCCTGTTGGCCTGCAAGGTGGTTCGGATGATCCTCGTCATCCTTCCCGTAGAAGGATGGGCAAGTCATGGAGGGGAAGGTGCATGGGATGTCCCAGGTTATGGGTCTAAAAGGACACCTTTTTGTTCTGTTTGTCTTTCATTGTAGAAGGAAAAAACAAAAGGTACTATAAACTTGTAAAGGAAGCAATATTGAAGCAGAAAATGAGAGACATTTCCAATGAAAATATCTACAGTTTAGAATTCACAGAGTTTTTTTTTATAATATATCAAAATCTTAATGGCAATTCTGAAAGGACCAGCTGAGAAAAACATTTAAACTTGCAGGGCTTAGCTGCTGTGCCCAGGCCCCCAAGATGGGCACCGGTGCATGGAGCCGACCTTCCTTTGGAGTGAGACCCGGGTAACCCCCCACACACCAACCCTGCTTCACCTGCTTATGCTGCCCTTCTTCAGGAGCACAGGAGAACCCACCACAGTCACCACTGTCATTCCCCACCTTCCATTCATTCTTTCTCTGTTTTTGGTACCGGGGATCGAACTTGGGACCTTGCGCTTGCAGGGTAGGCAGCCCAACCACTGAGCTAAATCCCTGGCCCCCATTCATTCGTTCATTCTTTCTTTCTTTAGTAAGTAGTTTCAATTGTGTAACACTTTAAGCAGTCAGAGAATGCTACAACAAAGCCCATTGCATTTGGAATCCCATCCTTCTTTGGGGATTTAATTTCTTTCTCTGAAGCAGATCCATTAGGATACTGTATCTCAAATATTTTGATTTGAGGACCTCTTTACATTCTTAAAAATTATTTTTGACGTTCTTCAAGGAGCTTTGCTTTATTTAGCTTAGCTCCGTTCCTATTTATGGTAAAGGAAATTTAAACAACATTTAAAATATCTGCTGATGAATTAATTTAAAATGATAATTACAAACCTATTATATGCAAACAAACTTTTTATGAAAAAAATTTCAGAATCAGAGAGCTTTAGGAAAAGCATGGCATTAAATTTTTAAAAATCTCTTTGATATCTGGCTTAGCAGTAAGCAATTCGATTCTCATGTCTGGTTCATCCTTCTACTAACTACTCGGGATGTATTGTTCAGTGGAAGAATGAGAGTCAGGCCTGGCCTCACACAGATATGTAATTAGAAAAGTAAAGAAGGTTTCAGATGTCTTAAAAGAGAATGAACTGTGCCTAAATTGGACAAAAGGTAGTTTCCTAAAATGTAATTGCTTATGCGATCTGAAACATCTGAACGTTTCCTGCTCCCTTGTATTACAACCCTATGACCTGACTTGGGCTTCCTTGTACACAGTCTGTAAGATGGGGCACTGGTCGCTGGGGAAACATTGGTTCTCTGAGTTCTGTATTGGTTCACTGTAGTTATGTATTATCACATATCACATCTTTAATATCACCAACAATCATATCAGAAAAGTCAGTCTTGGGATCACTTGGAATTAAGTAGTGAATACAGACATTCTTATTGGAAAGACCAAATTTTATCATGGGCATTAAAATGCCATCAAAAGTTGTTTTGTTTTGTTGTTTTGTTTCCTAAAGGGATATACTCAGTCCATTTATTTGCAAAATAATGATTGCCAGCTACCTATAGCTGAATGCATAGCTTGTTAATGGGTTATTCTTTCAGGTGGAAATGATGCTCCCTGCGAGCTTAGGATGTAGGGCAGTCATGGGATGCTCTGTCTCAAGACTTCCATAGCAGTTTGGCAGGCAGCAGAGGTACAGTACAGGTTCAGCATGCCTTATCCAGAATGCCTGAGACCAGAAGTCAATCGGATTGTAGGTTTTTATTTTGTATTCTGGAGTATTTGCATATATGAATAAGGCACCCCGGGATGGGAACCAGGTCCAAACATGAAATTCGTTTATGCTCCAGGTATTACCATAGGCACAGCCCAAAGGTGGTTTTCTACAGTGTCCTTTAGGGTGCCTGAATTTTTTACTGCAGTCTATTTCAGATAGGTATAAACTTTTCCACTTGGGGCATTTTGTTGGTGCTCAAAAAGTTAGATTTTTCAGGTTAGAGATTCTTAGCCTATACTTACAATATCAGAAATGAACATGCTCCATTTTTGAGTAATACAATTTACACTTTTCACTGCTTCATCAAGCACTTGTTTAAATTCAACTACTTTCTATCTGTGTTTCAATTTTTGTAACTGAGTATTTGACAGTAAAGAATACAAGACTATAATTGTTCTTTCGTGCTACTGTCTTGATTTCTGTGACAGCACCAGCACTTTTAAGTACCATTGCTTTTCCACTATTAACGTCAATATAGTGAAAAGCAAAACCAGTTTAGAATGATTGTGGAAATATTTCCAACCTCCTAGAGCCTTTGCTTTATGATTCTTGCATGACATTAAAATCCAGGCCTCTGGGGAGTAAGGGATGTCCCTTCTACATTCTCCCAGCAGCAAATATTACTGAGTAGCTTATAATACCAAAAGGGAATGCTAGGCAAAGGGACATTCATGTCCAGCACGGGACAGAGTGAGATTTCATTATGCTACTCACAATAGTGCACGATTTAAAAATTGTGAATTGCTTATTTCTGGAACTTTCCATTTAATATTTTCAGACCACATTTGACTATAACTGAAGCCATAGGAAGTAAAACTGGGTAAGGTGAGACTACTGCAAAGCTATTTATATAAATATGCAGCAGTGATCACTGTTGTGTTAGTTACTTTTCTCTCATTGATGAGACGAAATACCGGAACCTCAAAGTTAAAGGAGAAGGCTTTATTTGGCTTACAGTTTGTGGAAGTTTCAGTCTACAACCTGCAGACTCCAAGGCAGTGATGACAAACAGGCCTGGCCCAGCAGGAACAGTGTGGCGCCTCAAGGCAGCAAAGGTAACAAGAGGAATTTAACAGCATCTCCCTGCTTTTTAAAAAATCTTATTCAGACTACTTAGGGTGGGCAGCACTCACACCCTTAATCCCAGTGCCCTTGAGTTTAGCATTGATTGCATCTGAATCGATTCCAGCTTCACACACTCTAGATCAAGCCTGTGACCACATGAGGCTCTGGGAGGGCATCTAGACCCAGACCATAACAGCTGTCAAGCAATGACCTAAAGCAATGACCTACTTTATTACACCAGTAGGACAGTACTAATATAAAAAGAGCTTTGCCTTACAGAAAGTGGAACCTCACACAGCTTCCAAGAAACATGGGGAAATGCGTATATTGCCCAGTGGCCTTTGAGTGCAACTTCTAAATGGTTAGGTATGGTTTTCAAATTATACTAGTACTAGTGGGACTGTTTCTGAGGAAAGTTTCTTTTCAGAGTTTTAGATCATAGTTTTGTTTGAGGCAGTTGTATCACAAAGGAAGTGAAGTTCAGAGACCCAGAGCTTATACCTCGCCCGAGTTAGAAAATAGGATCTCATACCTTGACAGTGAATCTGGAAGAGAACTACAGCAGGAAAGCGAAGGTGGTCTTTTTAGAAATGACCCCAACCCTTCTTTGGAAATAAAATGTGTAGCTATGTTAAAAATTCCTAAAATAACTTTTTTTTTCCTCTAGGTAGAGTTTATTTATTTCAAGATGTACTTGTTTTTCCCAAGTATCCCTGTCTTTGTAGATTTTCTTTTGCAGTGAAGAGGCACTGCATTTTTACTCCAAAAATACTTGTTCGTATTATCTGCTTTTCAGTGGTCATGTTTAAGTTGTAAAACTGGCAAAATATTGTTCTTGATTCTGAGGGTGGGCATGGAAAGGTGAATAGCAGAGAGAAACAGCCTCACATTTGTGTATGTGGATACATCTAGTTTATTTTTTCAAAGAACTGGTTTGATCTTTCCCCATTGCCCTTCGTCAGGCATCCCACCGAGCCTCACAAATTCTTGGACCTAAAGACGAGGACCTGTGGCATCAGGTTGGGTAAACCAGACATCTAGTGCTGCCTCTCAATGAGCAGACCCTTTCTCCTTGCCACTGTGTGTATTGTATGTGGTTTGTGGATATTCTGCACTAGAATATGTGCCCATTAGGTAGGTGAAATATTTTTCCCGTCTTACTTTCCAAAATATAATTTGAAGGATGTATGGCAAATACGATGTCCTGGTCCATTTCTTTGTCGCTAGCCCAAAATACCTGACACCCGAAATTTAAAAAGGAAGAGGTTTATTTTGGCTCATAGTTTCAGGAGTCTGAGCTCGTGATTGGTGGGCTCAAATGCAGAAGCCACATGATGGGAGGACCTGCTGTGGAGGAAACTGCTCACATCATGGAGGACAGGAAACAGAGGGAGAGGGAAGAGCTGGGGAGGGAGATACAGCCTTCTGGGTCATGGCCCCAGTGACCTGCCTCTTCCAACTGGACACCAACTCATCAGAGCGTCAATCCACTGCTAAGCATGGCCCTTCATGATCCATTCTCCTTGCCAGAGCCCCACATTTGAACACATGAGGCCTTTGGGGACCCAGATCTTAATATTTGGTATTCTTGATCTACAGTGCTTAGATGGGGTTTGTCCGTCCCCACCAGAACAGTTGACATTTAACTGAATTGTGGTGAGAAGTGGGGTATTTCAGATGTGATTACATTGGTAAGAGGAAATAATGCTGCTCTTTATGGAAGTGGATTCTTGAGGGAAAGAGTTCTTGCTCTCTTGGGATTGGATTACTTGCAGAGAAATCTGGTTGTTATAAGACAAGCAGTACTCCTGTTCCTTCTCTCCTGAGTGCACCTGCTTGCTTTTGCTTTCCACCACGAATTAAAGCAGTACATGTGCTTCACTTATATTGTGTTCTGCAAATTCCTAGCCTCCAGGACTGTGAGCCTAAATAAAACTCCTTTCTCTATAAGTTATCAAGGCTCAGGTATTTTGTTATAGCAGTCGAAGATGGCCCGTGACACAGTCCTTTTCGTCTCTTTGAAGAGTCCAGTTGATGACACCTATCTCCACCCTGTCACATATTTCTCCTTACCAGGAGGCTGTTCTTTTCTTTCTCTGCTAGTCACCTTTCCAGCTCCTCCTTGAACATATTCTTGTTAAAGGATGCCCTCAGCGGTCACTCTCTGTTGTTTTATCTGTGAGCGTCACCACTATAAAGTGTTCCCTGAGGAGCCCTGGAGCTCCTGCAGTGCAGCCTTGCAGACAGGGTTCAAGTGACCAAGTTCTTTGGATGTGGTACTTGGACCATAGTGCATCGATCTGTCTGCCCCATCCCCTGTCAGTCTCTCTCTCTCCCCGTCTCCCCTCAGAAGCTGTAAATATTCTTTAGCTCTTGCCCTTCATCTCTGCTCACTTTGTCATTTCCATAGTGCTGACTCAAGCAGATCTGTCTCTCACCCAGGCCTCTTTCCAAGTCTGAGAAACCCTCACTCCCACTGTTCCATGTGTAGCCACTAGAAAATTTATGTTTAAGAACCATTTTTTTCTTCACATCAGGTCCTTGTATGGGGTTTCTCTAGTTATGCAGTGCTCTGCTCAGATATTTTCCCCCTCCTCCTGAGGACACACCCTAGAGACTGGAAAGGGGTTCATACATTTCTCTTCTCCCACAATTCGAACTGCTTCATTTCCCTGTGCTGCCTGGCCCTCTGTTCTCTGATGCCGCCTTAGTGTAGAGTCTTTTGCTCTGAAGTCTTCAGCCACCATCCTGCCGTAGGCACCTGCCTTAAGCCTCTGTGCACATAGCTTACAGACTGAATGATCTGCCCCTAGAACTCCAGCACTTGACCCTCTTGAGGCAGAACCCAAATAACTAAGTAGATTAGTCAAGGGGAAAGCATAAGTCCTGTTTTATCCTTATTCAACTCTATGCTCAGCCCATTCAGGTTTTGCCCTTCCAAGAGATGAACTGACATTGTGATCTTTGTGACCCTGATGCTTATCCATCTCTAGTATTCGTTCAAGCATTCATGAGCAAGTTGTGTCTCCCTGAGCTACAAGCTCATTTATTCAGAGTTAGGAATGTATCCTCCTTTTGTGGAGCACACATCTATTGCTTTAAAAATAAATTTCAAAAAATCATATTTACTGCTTTAAAAATTAGTTTTCAAAGTGTATTTTCCTCTCTGGTGTCTGTGCAGCCGACACATCACCTTCTTAAAGCTCTCACACAAATGTTATCTCCACAAGGCTCTTCTGTTTCACATCCTGCTCTCCATACCTTCTTCTACCCAGGTACAAGGTACTCCATTTTATTCATTGCACCTAAGGACTCTGTCTTAGTTATTTTTCTCCCATTGCTTAGACTAAATACTTAACACCTAAAGTTAAAGGAAGAAAGGTTTATTTAGCTCACAGTTTGTTGGGGTTTCAGTCCATAGACCACTAACTCCAAGGTAGAGTGGATGACAGACAGACATCACAGAAGAGAAACAGTTCATGGTGGGCAGAAGGTAGCAAAGCAAGCAAGGGACTTTAGCAGTGTCTGTCTGCTAAGCCATAACAGTTATAACCAAGTGTTCACTTTTTTATGCCATTATTTGCTGTTTGTCTTTTCTCACCTGTTGGAATAGACACTCCATGATGGCAGGGATTTCTGTGTGCTCGCTGCTGTGTGCTGTCATCTAATGCTGTACAATCTACTCGTCAGAGGTGCAGCCTCACGGGAGGTCTTTGGGTTATTGGAGATGTTACTGTAAAGGGAATATTGGACTTTAGTTCCTTCCTCTTCTCTTCTTTTACTTCCTGGCTATGATGCAAGTAATTTTTCTCTGCCGTTATGCTTCTGTGATGGTGTGGGGCCTCACCATAGGTCCAGAGCATGAGGCCAATTGATCATTGACTAAACACCCCCAAAATTATAAGCTAAAACTTATTCTTAGCTGGGTGTGGTGGCTCATGCCTGTAATCCCAGCACTTGGCAGGCTGAGGCAGGAGGATTGCTTTGAATTTGAGACCAGCCTAGGCTACATAGTGAGTTACAGGTCAGTCTCAACTACATAGTGAGACCCTGTCTCAACCCCCCCCAAAAAAAACCCAAAAAACTAAAACTTATTCTTTATAAGTCTATCTTGAGTGTTTGTTATAGTAACAGAAAACTAACATAATTCCCTTTTGTTGCCATTGTATAGATATACAGCAATTTGTTTATTCATTCAACCTTTAATGCACATTTATAAGTCACAAGTTTTGATTATCACAAAATGACTGAACATTTATATATAGGTTTTTATTAAAAACTAAAGTTTCATTTTTCTAGATAAGTAGCTAGGAATGAGATTATAGGGTTGTGTGTAACTACGTGTTTAATTTTATAAGTAACTGTCACACTGTATTTCAAGTGATTTTTGCTTAATGTATTTGGAAGCTCTTGTGAAGTGCACACACATTTGGAATTGTTGAGTCTTCTAGGTGAATTGAACCTCTCATCATTCTATGTTGTCTTTTAACCCTGGTCATTTCTTTTGCTCTAATGTGTACTGTGTCTATTCAATACATCTTATATTAATACAAGGGCTCTAGCTTTCTTTCATTAATGGCTTTTTAATGCCTTTTTGTCCATTATTCACTTTTGACCTTTCTATTTTATTAAACTAAAAGGAGATTTCATGAAGAAAGCATGTGACTGGGTCTTATTTTGTAATCTTTTTCAACAATCTATGAGTTTTAATTGGTATATTTCAACCATTTCGCTTAGTACAATTATTGATATGTTTGAATTTGCATGGAAAATTTTATTTTATCATTTGTTTATTGTTTGTTCCTTTTTTATCCCTACTTCCCCTTTTCCATATTCCTTTTAAATACTTGAATATTTTAAGTATTTCATTTTAATTTTCTATTTTTCTCAGTATACATTTTAATAATTACTTGAAATTATAATATTTATACTTTTATTTTCACAGCACATAAAAATTAATATTTTATCACTTAATGTAGAAAATTTAGCACCGTACACATCTCTTCTCTTTTTCTTCTTTGTGCCAGAAGTGTCTTGTGTAATAATCATGGGAGCCCGCTCCCGTTTATGGAAGATGTGTTCCACCCTGCAGGTGCCTGAAACTGTGTACTGACCCTGTATGTGCTATATGTCTACCTATCCATACATCCCAATAATAAAGTTCAGTGTGTAGATTAGGAAAGCAATGGATGAACAGTAATAACTAATAATGAAATAAAACAGCTATACTGTGCTATGATAAATGGGAATATATCACCCTCTCTTAGAATACCCTATTGTACTATACTCACTTGTACTTTGGGTGTGTGAGTTGATACAGTGCCAACATGATGAGAGGAAGTGAGGTGGATGACATAATCTTTGTGATGTATTTGGCTATGACATAAAGGTTACTGAACACATTCACAGCTTTACTGCAGAAACTGGCCTGATGACCAAGACAGCTCAGTAACTGATTGGCAGAACGTGTGCAGAGAGGTTGTGCTAGACACAGGGATGGTTCACATCACAGTTGGACCTGGCTAATGAGTATGACAGGCAAGCCAAGTCCTATGGATTGTTTACTTCTGGAATTTTCCATTTAATATTTTTTGTACCACAGTTGATTTCAAGTAACTGAGACTACAGAAAGTGCAACCATGGATAAGGGGGTGGAGATACTACTGACAGACAGGCTCATCAAGCAGTGTTATTTTTACTTTCCATCATAGAAAATCATTAGAATTTGCAAGAAGAATCTCTTATATGACCGTGAGTGTAACATTTCTGTTGTCATTCCTGAAATTTCAAGTTTCCCTCCCATGCCATTCCCTTCCTGCGTGAGAAACTCCCTTCAGCATTTCTTTTAGAGCAGTCCCAGTGACTAATTTTCTTAATTTTTCCTTCATTTGAGAATGTCTCTATTTCATCTCCATTCTTGAAAGTTATTTGCACTGCATATGGAATTCTGGTTAACAGTTTTTCCCTTTCACTCCTTTAAAAGTATTGTGCTTCTGGTTTCTGATGAGAAATTTGCAGCCATTCTCTCAGATTATTCCTCTTTTGGTAATGCAGTGATTTTTCCTAGCTGCTTTCAAGATTTTTTCCTTGTCTCAGTTTTTAGCTGTTTGATTATGATTTGGCTAGAACTAGTTTAGGGGAGCAAGTTCTCTAAATTTTGTGAATCTTTAAGTTGGTCTCACTAAATTTGTGAAGATTTCAGCCACTATTTCTGCACCAGATTTTCACTCCTATCTTGGGACTTTGATGACACAAATGTTCACCTTCCAAATTCTCCTCAAATCCCTGAGTTTCTGTCAATGTTTTCTAACCCGTTTTTTTTTCTCTCTGATGTTCAAATCTGATTATTTCTATTGATCTCTCTTCCAGATCACTTCCTCCTACTCTGCCATTGCCATTCTGACATTTAATCTACTCACTCTTTTTTATTTGTTATATTTTTATCTCCAAAACTTCAATTTGATTTTTTTGTTTCCTTGCTGAGAATTCTACCTTTTCATGTGTTTGTCCTTACTTCTTGAGCCACGGTTATAACACCTGCTTTTGTCTGGCTGTGCCAGAATTCTTGTCATCTCACAGGGTGATATATGTTGCTCATCTTTTTCCTTGAAATGTGATATTTTCCTGGATATTTGTAATTTGGATTGGCTCTCTGGACATTTTGAATACAGTAGCTTCCTCTTATTCATGGGAGATACATGACAAGATTCCCAGGGATGCCTGAATTTGAAGATAATACCAAACCAAATATATACTATATTTCATATATATATTTTTGTATGTATATATATATATATATTTGTATGTATATATCCATATATATATATATCCCTATGATAAAGTTTTACCTTGTAAGTAGGCACAGTAAGAAATTAGCACTAATAGCTAATAATAAAGCAGAATAAGTATAAGCATTAGACCATAGTAGAAGTTATTGCTACTGAATACTTTCTGTCCCTCCTTTTCTCCCTCTCTCACAGGAGCCATCTCAGTGGTCAGACCACAGTGTTGTATCAAAGTACAATTGCTTTATTTCAGTTAATAATGTCCTCAAAGAACAAGAGTAGAGATGCTGGCAGTTCAGACCTGCCAGAGAGAAGACATGAAGTGCTTGCTTCCTTCCAGTGAAAGGGTGAAAATTCTTTAAAATAAAAAAAGACACCATTTTCTGAGGTTGCTAAGTTCTGTGGTGAGAATAGATCTCTTATCTGTGAAACTGTGACAAAGTTAAAAGAAATCTGTGCTAATTTTGCTGCCTGGTTTACTGTGGGCAGCTGAAGCTGGAAAACACAACCTTGAGTGTACAGGACTACCTTATTATAGAATGAAAATCTAGATCTTCATTTTGAGGCTAATGTTGAGTCTTTTTCTGTTTGTCTGCTTTATTAGTCACTCAGCATAGTTCAGTCGGGCTACAAGCTCCGGCCCATCTTGGGACATGGTCCCAGTGGTCAATCAGTTTTTGTAGCCTTTATCATGGTCTTTGGATTTTTCAAGCCCCTGCACCATTTGGTGGCGCTTCTGAGACCTCAATGGTGGTTAGTCCTACTGTTCTATTAATGCTTTTAGTGTTCTGTTTAAATTAGATCTATCCATGCACTGCTCAGAAGTGAGCTAGAAGTTTATACATCATGTTGTGGGGCTGTTCTCTTGAACTTCTCTTCCTCACAGTCTTCCTGACACTTCCAGGCTCTCTGGGCTCCTTTTAATGCCCTGTCTCCAGAAAGCTAGATCTGGGCTGGGGTGTGGCTCAGTGTAGAGTGCTTGCCTGCCATGCACAGGCCCAGCACAAGGAAACAAAGGAGGGAGAGAGAGCAACTGTATCTGGCTTAATTTCCCCATTCTGCCCTGCCATTCCTATGATTTTATCTGTGTTAGAACTCGGGTAGCGGTGGGGTAGAAAGAGAAAAAGAAGCATTGGAGATGTGCAAAAAACCCTTGAGACTATAGCTTCTCATGTCAGAGAGAGTTCAGGGGATGCACCTGGAACTGCTGCCCTGCTCTTGCCAGTGAGAATTGCAGCCTCTTCATTGAGTTTTTACTGTTACTTTTGAAAAAACAATTGTGTTGAGATATGTTATATACCTGAAGGGAGAAGTTCAAATGCTTGCCCAAATTAACTATTCCATTGTTAAAAATATTTTAATATATATGCTAATTTGTTTCAGTTATATTACTAGTTTATCTTAGTTTGTTAAAAAGGAAGTTTTGTGTTGTTATCTGTTTCTTCTTCGTAAGAATCCTTTTTGTCTGTGTCTAGTACACTGAGCAAATACTTTGAAAATAATTAGATACAATGCATTAGCCATTGTTATTCTCTTACTTTGTTATGAAATTTTGTTTTAATTTTTCATAAAATAAATAAAAATTTATATACACAATAAAATGCAGCAACTTATTATGTGAAATTCATTGGTTTCTAGGGTACGCACAGATCAGTGCAACCACCCATACAACTGAAGTTAGAATAGCTCATCACCCCCTGAAAGCAAGCTCATACTTGTAAGCAATAATTCCTCCCTCTGCCTAGTTTTAGGCAGCCATAAATCTATTTTTTCTCTTTATAGATGTACCTGTTCTGGGCATTCTGTACAAAGAGAACCATACAATATATTCTGTGACTGGCCTCTTTCACTTAGAAGATGTTTTCAAAGTTTATCCGTGCTGTCAGAGATTTAGCTCAGTGGCTTCGCTGCCTCCCTTGCAAGCACAAGGGCCTGAGGTCAATCCCCGGGACCAAAAAATAAAAGTAAAGTTTATTCAAGCTATAGCAGGTATCAGTACTTCACTTATTTTATTGCTAAGTAATACTCAACTGTGTGAATATACTATGCTGTATGTACCTACACATTAGTCGATGGACATCCAGTCATTGCTGCTTTTTAGAAAATATGAATAATTCTGCAATAAAATTTGTTTATAAATATGTTTGGTTTCTCTTGGATATATTCCTAAGAGTAGAATTGGTAGGTTGTGTAGGAACTCTTTTAACTTTTCAGAAGCTGCCAAACTGTTTACAAAGTATCTATATCATTTTACATTCCCACTAACAATGTGTATGGTTCCGATTTCTCTACAACTTTGCCAACACTTCTATTTGTCTGTCTTATTCCTTATAACTCCATTAGTGGGTGTGAAGGAGTATCTCATTGTGGTTTTATTTGCATTTCCATAATGATTTTGAGCACCTTTTCATGTGGTAATTGATCATATACATTATATATTACATTTTATATATTCTTTGAAGAAATTTCTATTTGAATCCTTTGTGTATTTTTATTATTTTTACTGTTGAGTTGCAAGAATTATTTTTATATTCTGGATGCAAATCCTTTATTGGATATATGATTTGCAACTATTTTCTTCCATCCTTCAGATTGTCTTTTCACATTGTTGATGGTCTCCTTTGGATCACAAACAATTATAAATTTGATGATGTCAGTTTATCTGGTTTTTGTTTCTTGGACTTTTGGTATTGTATCTAACAAACTATTGCCCAAACCATAATCACAAATATTTACTATTATGTTTTCTTCCCATAATTTTTAAAAATTAATATTGGGACTTACCTTTAGAAAGCTTGTATCCATTTTATGTTACTTTCGGGGCACAGTATGCAATAAAGATATGGTTTTAGTCTTTTTTCTATGTGTGGGCATTCAATTTCCCAGGAACACTTTTAAAAAAACCCTTTTCTTTCCCTACAAAATTATATAGGCAAACTTATAAAAAATAACTGGCCACAAATGCAAATAAGACACTCTTAATTATTGTTAGTGTTTTCCAAGATTTTTTTGGTTTTCAGGCTCCTGAATATCCATGTGAATTTTAGGATCAGCTTGTCATTTGTTAAACAACAACAGCAACAACAACAACAATGAAACAAAATACATCCCATCTGGGATTTTGAAAGAGTTTGCTTTGAAACTGTACATCAATTTAAGGAGTTACAATTTTAGCAACATTAAGTCTTCTGGTCAAAGAACATGGGATGTCCTTTGTTGTGATTTAGATCTGAAATGTATCCCCAAATCTCCTGTGTTTGGAAGGTGGCCAGATCACAAAGATGCAATAGTTATCAGTGGATTCATCCATTGATTAGTTCAATAGCTAAATGAATTGGGACTTAGTTGGAGGTGAGGCCCTGATCCAAAGTGTTTGTGACCTGTGAGGGTGTTTTCCTGTTTCAAGCTCTATTCTTCTCTCTCTGTTTCTAGGCTACCATAAGTTGAGCAGCTCTTGCTTTGCCATGCCCCTCTGCCATTCTGTTTTTGCCTTGGACCTAGCCAAGCATGGACTAAAAATAGGAGCCAAAAT